TGTCTAAATTAAGGACTCTTTTCCAGTAGTTATGTTAAATATTATCACACTTTAAAAAACACCTCTCAAATCCTTACACTATGAAATACCTATTCAGTGTTCACATTCCTCATTATCTTATAGAAGCCATTAATTTTCTACTGATTTATTTAAATTGAGATAAAAATAAGGCAGGTACATTTTTACTGGTTAATATGTCTATTAAATATTTTAATATATAGATTCTCTGTCCATTGTTGGTCTTCTTGGAATTTTTCATTGAAGGGACCATGCTATTTGTCATATAGAGTTTTTCATAGTCTGGATTTTGCTGGTTGTGTCCTCAGGGTATCATTCCATAGCACCTGGACATGGATATGGTTTTGCCTCTGTTTGTTCATACTCTGATGCTTCTTCAGATTACTGCCTTGGGCAACAGAATCTGCTCTGTACTCATATGCAGAAAGCCTAGTGTTCTGTCTCCTTGGAATGGCCCTTAGCCAATAACTTATAGGCATGGGCATATGAAAACCTAGCTCAGTATAGCTCAACAACCAAACCTAAAAAAACAAAACAAAAACAAAAATAACTATAACAGAGACAGAATCACAGAAATGGAGATCACATGGAGGGTTATCGGCAGGAGGGGGGAGGATGTGGGAAAAAGTGCAGGAAATAAGAAGCATAAATGGGGACTTCAAGCCAAGGTGGAGGCGTAGGTAGACATACTGTGCCTCCTTGCACAACCAAAAAAAAGGGACAACAACAAATCCGAAAACAAAAAACAACCAGAACTGACAGAAAATCAAACTGTATGTAAGTCTGACAACAAAGGAGTTAAAGAAGAAACATTTATTCAAACCAGTAGGAGGGGCAGAGATAGACAGCCTGGCAGAGAGGACTTGAGGCAAGGTGGTGGCTGATGGACCTGAGGAGGTGGCAGATTGTGGACTGAGTAGTCCCACGTTCGCATGCAGATAAACCAGGAGGAACAACTAGGGAGCAAGACAGAATGCACAACCCAGAGTTCCAGTGCAGGGAAATAAAGCCTCAAACAGATGTTTTCTGATTGAAAACATCTGTGGGGGTTGAGGCAGCAGCAGGAGAAACTCCCAGCCTCACAGGAGAGTTCACTGGGGAGACCCAGAGGGTCCTAGAATGCATACAAGCCCACCCACCCAGGAATCAGCATCAGAAGGGCCCAATTTGCTTGTGGGTAGCAGGGGAAGTGACTGAAAACCAGCAGAGAGCTGAGCAAGCAGCATTGTTCCCTCTTGAACCACTCCCCCACATACAGTGTCACAATGCAGCCAGTTGGTTGCCCTGCCTTGGTGAGCACCTAAGGCTCTTCCCCTTTTATGTAACAGGAGCCTTGAGACCAAAAAAAAAAAATGGCCCAAAGGAAAGAACAGATCAAAGCTCCAGAAAACATACAACTAAGTGATGAAGAGAGCCAAACTATCAGATGCCCAGTTCAAAACACTGGTAATCAGGATGCCCATAGAATTGGCTGAATATGGTTGCAAATTACATAAAAAATGAAGGCCATGCTAAGTGAAATAAAGGAAAATGTACAGGGAACCAACAGTGGCAGGAAGGAAACTGGTACTCAAATCAACAGTATGAACCAGAAAACAGAAAGAAACATCCAACCAGCACAGAATGAAGGAACAAGAATTCAAAAAAAATGAGGAGACATTTAGGAACCTCCAGGACATCTTTAAATGTTACAATATCTGAATTATAGGGGTACCAGGAGGAGAAGAGGAAAAGCAAGAAATTGAAAACTTATTTGAACAAATAATGAAGGAGAACCTCCCCAATCTGGCAAAGGAAATAGACTTCCAGGAAGTCCAGGAAGCTCAGAGTCCCAAAGAAGTTGGACCCAAGGAGGAACACACCAAGGCACATCATAATTACGTTACCCAAGGTTAAAATGAAGAAGAGAATTCTAGAAGCAGCAAGAGAAAAGGAGACAGTAACCTACAGAGGAGTTCCCATAAGGTCATCAGCTGACTCAGAAGAGACCTTGCGGGTAAGGGGCTGAAAAGAAGTATCCTTAGTCACAAAAGGCAAGGACCTACATCCAAGATGGCTTTATCCAGCAAAGCTTTCATTTAGAAAGGAAGGGCAGATAAAGTGCTTCTCAGATAAGATCAAATTCAAGGAGTTCATCATCACCAAGTCCTTATTATATGAAATGTTAAAGGGACTTATCTAAGAAAAAGAAGATAAAAAATATGAACAGTGAAAGGACAGCAAACTCACAATCATTAACAACCACAGCTCAAACAAAGACAAAAGCAAACTAAACAAAGAACTAGAACAGCAATAGAACCACAGAAATGGAGATCACATGGAGGGTTATCAAAGGGGAGTGGGAGGGAGAGAGAGGGGAAAGGTACAGAGAATAAGTAGCATAGATGGTGGGTAGAAAATAGACAGGGGGAGGTTAAGAATAGTATAGAAAATGTAGAAGCCAAAGAACTTATATGTACGACCCATGGACATGAACAAAAGGGGGGAATGTGGGTAGGAGGGGGTTTGCAGGGTGGAGGGGAGTGAAGGGGGAAAATGGGACAACTGTAATAGCATAATCAATAAAATATATTTAAAAAATAAAAATTATTATTAAAGAAAAGAAACATAAATGGTAAGTGCAAAATAGACAGGGGGAGGTTAAGAATAATATGAGAAATGGAGAAGCCAAATAAATTATATGTGTGACCCATGTACCTGAACTAAGGTGGGGGAATGATGGTGGTAGGGAGGGTACAGGGAGGAGGGAAATAAAGCAGAGAAAAAATGGGACAACTGTAATAGCATAATCAATCAATAAAAAACAAAACAAAACAGGGCAACCATGTGTGCTCTCAGAATTCCTATTGAACATCTTAATTGAAACCAGAATAAAAAGGATAAAAATACTTCACCCTCATATATGGGGAGCTTAACTCCCCACTTGTTAATTGTGGGTTTTTCATAGTGACTTTGCTCCAAAGTATGCAGTGTAGTAAGGTGGGATGTTGTGGGGGGATGAGGAGAGTAACTTTACAATTGAGAAACCTGACACATGCTACCTCATCCAGGTCATCAAAGTGATAAATCATGCCAGTAATATGTACAAAACATGCATATAATATTTAAAATGGTATTTCATCTCTGTATTCTTCCTCCTAAAAATCCATAACTCCAGTCTAAGAGAGAAACATCAAACCAAACTGAGGAATAGTCTAAAAAAATACTGACCAGGACTGCTCAGAACTGTCAATGTCATCAAAAAAAGAAAAGCCTGAGAAACTGTCAGAGTCAAGAGGAGCCAGGGAGACACAGCAACCAAATGTAGTGTGATGTGTGGGCTCCTGGAACAGAAAGAAGCATTAGGTAAAAACTAATTAAGAAACCCAGAATAAACCATGTACTTTAGTTAACAATATAGTATCAATATTGTTTTGGTAATTGATAGAATAAATGTACCATACTAATGTAAGATGATAAAGGAAACTGGGTATGGAGTGTATGGGAAGTCTCTGTACTATTCTTGACATTTCCATAAATCCATAACTGTTCTAAAATATAAGGTCTATTAAAAATCATAACCTAATACTTCAAAATAACTTTTCACATATTTTAGGTGTTTCTAATTACTTCTGCCTCTGCCCCTAATTTCTGCCACCCCTGAATTCTACCTAGACTTCCTCTTAACTATTGTCCTGTTATGACATTTTGAGCCTACATTCTCATCCTCTAAGTAATGAGAGGCGCTGACAAGTGTTAGCCTAAGGAGGGATGTGGTTAGATTAGAATTTTAAGTAGAACACCCTGTCCTCTATGTGATGAGTGGATTATGGGGTAGATTTCCAGGGGGCAAAAAAAGCCAGCTTGAAGGCTATTGCAATAGTGCTGGTAAGAAATGATCACAGTCCAAGCTTGAGAGGTGTGTTAGGAATAGCAAAGACTTGATCATTGGTGTGGGGTAGGGAAGAAGAGAAGAGGAGTGAGGAATGATGATAGTGTCTCTGGTTTAGGTGAATGCACGGGCGGTAGTATCATTCCCCAAGAGAGAGACTGTCTAAGGAGGAAGGATAGTGAGTGTTGCTGGAGTTGGAAGGGAAGGGTAGATGCTAGATGCCATTCAGACCTATTTAGTTTGGGTGCCTATAGAAGTTTCAATAAAGATGTCCCTGACATATTGTCATGCCTATGGTAAAATATCTTTGGGCAATTTGAGACAAACTGCCTGAGAGGATGTTGTTAAATAGTTAAAGGCTGGTTATCCCCAGAAAAGAGGGAGTGCCTCATCCTGAAGTGACTGATGGCAGTAAAGGCTACAGAAATATTGAGGGCGGAGGGTAATTGTTACATTGACTTTGGATTTGTATTTTTTTCTGCTGATCCAGTATTTTGGCTTTCATGATTCCTGTTGGCCCAACTTTTCCTTTCTTTAGTGATTCTGTCACACTCCCCATCAGAGATCAGTCCCAAGAGTCTCTTCTGTCCCCACCTTGCTCAATTCTGCTTCTAATGCTTTTCTGAAAGCTTCCTTAATCAAGTAGGCAGTCCATGAGACTCTTGGAAAATAGGAGGACATTATACAGTGAGAAAACCCAGGATGGGATCAGAACCCAGAGGGAGTTTCCACTTCCTGCCCATGCCCTTGGTCATGGACTGAGATTGGGCTCCATGTGTGTAAGGCAATGCAGGGCTGAGACAGCAAGATCCCCTTCCCTGCAACCACAGTAACTTATCTCCCCTTCATGACTTGTAAGTGTGCTTTCAGATGCACGATGAAGTTGTTTTGCTTTGGTTTGGTATTGGTTTGGTATAATTTTTAGAAGCTATTAAAAATATTGGATGGTTTTGGGTGTGGACTTAAAGTGAAGTCAAGATGTCTGTCCCTCTTGGGAGTTGGCCAAAAGAATCCATTGAAACCATTGACCCACACATGAGTTTTCATATGGCAAGATACACAGGAACATAAGCCAAAGAGAATACAGGATCTCAGAACTTCCAGGATTTATTCTATCTCATTGTACATACAGATTCAGCTATAATACTGGGGATGAAGTCAGAGTTACTGTAGTAACTGTCCTCAGGCAGAGGCACCGGCCACCTGAGGTTGGGATTCGGTGGAATCAGAGTCATAAGGCATAAGTACTGGGCAATACCACCCCCCACCACACTATCACAAAGACATGCAGAAAAACAGGGTTAGGCAAGTTCACAGATAAGGTGGGCCGTCCAGACTGGGAGAGCTGAGAGGTAAGTGAAGCCACTGACTCAGCTTTCTCTACATTTGTATGGGATGGCCTGAGGGCCTCTGGGACATTGGGAGTGGTTATTTATGTTTGGGGGGCCACTACACCTCCTGTTTCTTCTGCTGCTCCTCTGCAGAGAATAAGACTTCTCCCTGCAGTGGCTGGACTGGGTGGGTCTCTTGGACCTGTCCAGGAACTGGGACCAATGTGGGTTGCTCCAACTGCCCCTTCTGCTGCTCTGTTGCTCCTAGCTGCCCCTGCCCCAGGTGCTCTAATAGCTGCTCTTCTTTCTTTTCTAATTGTTCATCTCTTTTTGCTAGCTCTTGATCCAGTTGCTGGTCCAGGATTTTCTTCTCCTGTTCCAGCTGTTCCTTTAGCTGCTGCTCCTTTTGTGCTTTATCCTTCTCCAGCTGCTGCTCCAAGTTTTCTGCTGCTTGGTCCTCATGCTGTTCCTGTTGATGCTGCTTCACTTCCTGCTCACATCGCTCTAGCTGTTTCAGATGCTGTTCTGGGTGCAGTTCCTGCTCCTGTGAGTCTTGTTGCTGCTTTTGTTCCAGGTGCTGTTTCTGCTGCTGTAATTCCTGCTTCTGTGACTCTCTGTGCTGCTTTTGGTCCAGATGTGGTTCCAGATGCAGTTCCTGCTTCTGTGACTCTTGCTGCTGCTGTTCCAGGTGCTGTTCCTGCTGCTGCCCCTTCTGGGACTGTGGCTCACAGTCTTGCTCAGGTACCCCCTTCATAGGAGTTGTGTGCTTCTCCCCATGTTCCAAGAGGGCCTCCCTTGGCAACTCAGAGGATACCTTCTGGCATGAGACAGGCAGTGAAGTTGGTTGCTTCACTTGCTCCTGCTGGGTATCAGTGGGAGGAGAAGCAGACTTGAGGGGTTCCTGACTGAGGGAAGGGGGAAGGGTCACCGGCAGAATGTGTTGCTGGGACATCTTGGAAGCTGCTTTTGGTCAACCTGAAAAACAGGAGGGGTTAGAGGAGTGGCTGAAGAGAGAAAGTAGATGAATTCCCAAGAAATCAGTGCCCGGTTTCTCAGCACCTCTCTCTTCCCTGGGTCTGATCACTCTCCCATCACCTCCATCTGTCATTCCCCGAAAGTGGCCAGAAGCAGCAGAGAGTGAGGGTAATAATGTGGAGAGGTGGGGAGGGGCCCTCCTGGTAGCCTTCTTCTTTCCTCCAAGAGGTCTGTCTCAGAGCTGCTCTGCAAGCATGGCCTGGGCAGCACTTTGCCTCCTGCTTGTGACTTGTCCTTGTCTCTCCTCAATTCTGACCTTCACTGACCAAGGAGAAGAGATGAGTTCTGAGATTACAGCAGAGAGAGGTAAGATCCTAGGAAAGAAAGGCTTCCTAGAAGAATGCTGAGTCCTGGAAACCAATAGCCCATGCTGATGGGACATGAGAAGTCATGGTGTGAGCCCTGGGTCAGAGTCATATGACATATTCTTGGTTTAAATCTCCCTGTGTGCTCCTTGGCAAGGTACTTCGCCCCTCTGGGCCTCAACTATCTCATCTTTAAAGTGAATGGATTGGTGTATTCAATTCCCAAGCTACTTTCCCTCAGGATCCCAACCTTCAGCTGCAGCCCCACTGCTCTGGTGAGGGATGGTGGTGGGAAGGACTGCAAGGTTGCTGAGACTGGAGCTGGCTCTTTCAAATCTCCACTTTTAAGTTGGGTTTTCCTGCCCCTGTTCTGCCTGGGTTCTCCAAATAGAAAGTTTTCCCCATTCTGAAGTTTCCCCTTTTGCCACAGAACCAAGAGTTGCACGTGTTTCCCTGAAGCCCCTTCCCCCACAGAGAAGGGAAAATCACAGCAACCTAAGTCAAATAATTTTAGGAAGGAATTTGACCATATTGCTCCTGCATCCTCATCTCACCCCCGACCCTATCTCTCTGTCTGTCTGTCTGTCTGTCTCTCTCTCACACACACACACACATTTCAAAATATGGGCCCAAGAAAAGATGGAACAAGAGGGGATTGTTGTCTGTTCTGTTTCTATTCCACAGCACACATCTCTCTGCACAGTGACCTGAGCTCTTCTAGAAAAACAGATGCTGCAGCTGAATCCAACCCATGAGTGATACCTGTACCCACACTGGCTGGCCACCCTAGCTGGCCACCATAGCCACGTTTTGGCCTGCTGGAGGCCCCCAGTCTCAAGCCTGCTGCTGCTGGTTAACACTTACCAGGCTCACAGTAAGGAGGACTGTGGAGGCTTCTAGTGGAGTGCTGAGCTGAGCAGGGGCCTGGGCACCCTTTATACCATCCCCAAACTGGCCACCTTCCCAGGTTGAAGGAGATGGACTGGTTTCACCACTGAAGTTGGTTAACTTCCCCCATCACCTCCCTGACTCATTGGAGGCACCTAAAGCAGAAAACCACTCGGGGCCCCTTTTCACAGAGAGACACAGCTCCTGCCTGGCCAGAGGGCTCTGGGGGCTCAGGCACTCTTGTCTTACTCATGACCTGGGCAGAGAGACAAGGGAGGTAGCTCAGGAACCGGTCCCTTTTCCTATTGTTTTGTGACCTCAGCCAAACTTCTCTGAATCTCAATTTCTCCACCTATAAAATGGGCTTATCCCCATTATTAGGTTGAGAGATTCATTTCCAAGGGCAAGAAATGGAACATTATGTGTTTTTCTGGAATACCCAGACCAGTATATTGTGTAAAGATGGAAAGACACTTCTCATGAAGAGATGGAGCTACTGAGGGTTCTCTTGGCCATTAGCCCACAGCACCTCTGCCCTCAGGACCCTCTATAGACCTCAGGACCGGTCTATAATTTTATACAGTGAGGAAATAAACTCTGTCTTCACGGGGAGAGGACTTTAGGCATAATACAGACTAATAGAGGGCTTGTAGGAATCTCCTGCTATGTCCTGTGGGCTGCCCAGGCCCCATGCCCAAGGCTGTAGTTCAAAAGTTCCTAAGAATAAAAACTCATAGAAACTCCAAAACATGAGCCACTCTAGGCAAGGAAACAGCCATTTAATATGCAATATATAAAATAAGGATTGCTTTTTATGATGTTAAAACACTTTGTATAATTTTTTTAAAATATAAAGATGAGAGCAAACCATCTATTGCTTTCTCCAAACCATTCTCTAAAAGAGTTAGGTAATCTTGCAGAGTGGGTACTGCAGTTTGCCCCTCCTTGATATTGGTGGTGACTCAGAGCACCTGGAAAAAATCCAAACTCATGTCTTGGTGTCAGAGAGCCTTGCTGAGGGTCTCCCAGTAGGAACCCAGCACTCTTAACATCTGGGCTTGGCACTCCCTGGGTCCCTGGCTTTTTGTTCCTCATCATCAGCATGAATATCAAGGCTGCCACAGAGCCTTCCCTGACTATCCTGTCCATGGGGTTATTTTTTGGTTTGCTTCATGTCAGTAATAACAGTTGAATGCTCTTTTATTTGCATTTGGTCACTAGTTTCTTACCTACCTCTCCCATCAAAGAATAGCTTTATAAGGCAGGGGTCAGTTTGCCTCGTGTGTGTTCCACCACACCCCCAGAACCCATCATAACCACCACGCAGAATCAGCGCTCTGCAAATAGTAAGTGAAGGAATGAATGAACAGTGCATCTCATCACCTGGAGATAACTGCTGTTGAAGAACTTAGTGTGTTTCTGTGTATGTGTGTGTATAAATAATGAATTGTGATATGCTTTTTTATGATCTATTTATAGCTTATTTTATGAACATTATTTAAACTCTCTTCTTTACAACCTAATAAATAATAACTATTAGAACAATCTGAAGACAAATATTCTTTTCTAGGGCTACTTTTGAGAAGTATTCAGGTTTTTCATGGATTTTCCAAAAGTCACCTTCCTTCCAACCCCAGATAGATCAATTACAGATTAACTTTGTCATGCTTTAGGGACTCAGACTAAAAAGAGAGACAGAGGGACTCCCATGTCTGAAAGACTGCCCACCTCATTCCTGTTCTGATCTCTGAGCCCACGTGGGACCTCCTTCTGCCTCCTCCATAGCACCGGGACTATGTCATTTTCTGGGGCTGGGGAAGTCTTCCCCTCCACCTCACTGATGGAGAACTCGCATAGGTACCCATGGCCTTGAACCCTGCTGCTGATCTCACATGACAGGAATTTGCCTCTCCCCAACTGATGACAGTCCCAGGGCAGCATACCCTGCTCCCGGAAGTCACACCACTCTTATGGGTTCCAGGGGCTGTATCTGCCAGATCGGCCACCCGCCCTCTGAATCACAGCATAATGAGAACTTTGTGGGGGAGACAGTGTGTGTGAGCCTTTGGTCATGGGTAAATTTAGGGAGTGGGAAGGAAGGAAGAGGAGCATGAAGCTGAGGTGTGTGCATGTGTGTGTGTGCAGGGCTGGAGTTGGAGGAATCCTGGCATTTTAAAAGCTCAGAGGCCTCATTCTCTGTCCTCAGGTTGCTGCATTTGTGGGCCTGATATGCATGTATATTGGGGAGATTCTCTCAGTGTCTGTGCGAGTGACCTCATAGGGTCCACATGATGAAGGTAACTGTCTAGCCCCTGCCCAGCATAATGAGGATGAGCTCACACCCCATGACACGTGCAGAGGCCTTGACCCCAGCTCTTCCCCAGCCCAGGGAAGCCCTGGCTATTTCTCTTGCAGAGGCAGAATCTGGCAGGTTCTCTTTCTCTTGAAGTGAGACAGCCTCTTTGAGCTGTTGCTTAGCTGTTGAGGAGAGAAGGGGACTGATCACAGCATTCACTGACCTGGGGAGGGGGCACTGAGAACAGTTTTAATTGGCAGCGTGGGGTGGTGGCAGATGGCCCTGGGAATATGCCTTGGGCCAGGAGGTCTTGTGTTCCCTCCCACTTTGGGTAGCCCTGCCTAGGCTGTTTCTAGGCAAGGCCATGCCCTCACAGTCTGAGGCCACTAACCTCTGATCCCTCCCCATAGGCTGCCTCCTCTGCCCAGAGCACTGTCATCTACATCACCTCTCAATCTGCAACCTGTACTAGTTGCCTTCCCACATGCCCCAAGTCCTTACCATCCTCCATGGCCTCCTGAACCTGACCTTTGCCCCTCATTCCCCTTTTGTGCCCATCTGCTGCTCTGGGGGGCGGGCAAAGCAAAAAAGGGGCATGGGACCATGAAAGAGCCAAGAGACTGAATCTTCCTCTGGCTTCAGTACTGGTCTGTCTGATGTGCCATTTGCCCTTCTTAGGTTTTCCTCTGGCTCCCCTCCTTAGCCTGTGGGATGGCTGGTCCTGTGTCTAGTCCCCAGTGTGTTACTCTCACTCTACTTGTCATGAAAGACCAAGTTTAGTCATGGTTTTGGTGCAGCAACAGGAACAAAGGCATGAATGGCTCCTAGTAGTGGGAAAAGGAGATGCTCTGTGTCCTCTCCTCCAGCTGGCAGAATGCCACCCCCTGCCTCGGGCTCACTGTTTGGGAATCACATTCTTTGTAGTCGATTCTCTGCACTGGAAGACAGCAGTGTGTCTGAGCTGGAGAATGCATGGGGAAGGCGTTGCCTAGTGCATAGGAGCTTCTGAGCAGTGAAGCCCCCTCCACTGGGGCTCATCCCTTCTTGTGACAGGTGGGCATTGAAGTCTTTTGAGAGGACATGAGTAGCCAAAGCATGGGGAATCTGTGACAGAGCTGGGCTGGAGCCCATTTATCCTGACCTCCATCTGGGGACTCTCTTTCCTACCAGCCTGGCTTCTTAGGTGAACATCTGATGGCCGTGTGACAGGTTGCACAAGTGATCTCAAACATCTTCTAAGTCTGAACTAGTCATTTACTGACTATTCCCAATGTGGTCAGTTCTAAGGGTTTTCTGGAGGAAGGGACAGTTTTCTTTAGCTCAGATTCAGCCAAAAATGCCCTTGCGATGGTTCTCATTGGTCCAGAAAAGAGACAGCTTTCCTCTAGTCTGGTGCTGGTACTGAAGTTTGTTTTTGCCTGACCTTACCTGGAGGAGTGTTACTATTCAGGATGGGTACTTGCTTTGAGGGCAGACAGGTCTGGGTTTGAATCCCACTGCACTTCCTATCATCTGTATAATTCACTTTACTCCTATGACCCTCAGTTTCTTTGTCTATAAAATGGAGTATGAATACCTCCTTCAATTTCTGTAAGGATTTGGTGAGCTAATATACATGGCTAGCACATAGATTGTACTCAGAAACTAACCATTATGTTGGTGGGAGTCATGGCCAATGTCTGCTGATGGAACTCTGATAGATACAGAGTTTTAAGGATGCAAGATAGTCAAGACTCATCTCATTTTGCTAATGAAAACCCCAAAGCCCCAAAATTGGACAGTGCCTGGGAGGAGAGTGGCGATGGAAGCCAGGCTCCTGACCTCCTATCAGCTCCTTCCAGTCTATGTGCTGCAGGCCTCAGGTGATGGGGCCAGTTTTTGCTCAACTGCACTAGGAATACTAGCATCCTGTAGCTCAGCCACAGGACCATGTCCTCTGTACTCAGGGGGCCTCGTGTGCACTAACTGTGTTCTTGAGTGGCAGGCTCACAGAGGAAACCCAATAGGTTTGCATTCCTATAGCATAATGTGCATGGAGAGGCCTGGGGGCCTGTATAGGCAGAGGAGAGGTAGTGGCTTGAATCTAACTTTGATGTGGACAAAGGGGTCCAGGTAATAGAGTACAGCTCAGATAGCCACAAGAAGCCAGAGACAGACTATAAAGCCTCTGCCAACACATAACATGCAGGGTGACTGGTGAAGAAGGCATGGGTAGGACGCCACAGGGAGAAGAAGGCAGGGGGAGGGACCCAGTGGGTAGGGGACAGACAGACGAGAAGAGTGTCAAGGCCATGGGTGGATGAGATAGGGGAGGGACATTGCAGAGGAAAGAGAAGAGGCAGGTACACAACAAAAGGGTAGAGAGGGACAAAGTTTAGCCATGTTGCCTTCCCCAGAAGTGTCATCAATGGTCAGACAAGTCAAAGGAGGCAAGGATGCCCATGTGACTTGGCTGGCCTCCTACCCCACTCCCTCCCTGCTAATTAGGGAGTGGTGGGGGACACCTGATCCTTCATCATGCCTCCTGAGATGAGGAATTACTCTTAAAATTACTCCTGAAAGTGGCTGCAGACGCCATGTAGATGCGTGTGGAGTCATATGTATGCACCTGTGTTTGCGTGTGAGTGCATGGGTGTCTCTGTGTGTTGTGTGCATGTGAGTTTGTATGTGTGTGTGGGGAGATCTGGGCACATATCAGGTCCTGGAGGAGTCATTT